CAGCTTCATCTGTCAGACTTGGGAGGACGAGATTTCAACAATAACACCATTTGGCATCTAGAAGCAACCTATCGATAGTTGACATTTATTATGTGTTTACTATGATGCACTGTTCTTAGCTCTTATGTGAATTAACTTATTTAATTCTCATTACTCATTCGACAGATAAGGCTCTGAAGCCAAGAGAGGTAGAAAATTACTCAATCTAGAAAGTGATAGAACTAGAATTCAAACCCAGGCAGTCTTGCTCTGGAGACCACATTATTAGGTACCATGTGTGTTGCAGATATAAATGATCTCTCCAGTAGGGAAGAGAAGGCAGACAGATTTCCTTTTGTACTATGTGAACCTCCAAGATTTTGAATAATTCAGAGGGAAACTGGGAGCTCCATGAAGGAGATTTCTTGCTTTTGTATCACATGGAATGTGACCGTATTGATAATAATATTATTAAAATTTCTAAGTAATTTTCTACATATGCTTTATTTTCCCAATTAGATGTTAACTTCCTTGAGGAAACGGACTGCTGCTAATTTGTTTTATACCCCTACCCCCACACTTTATAATACTTTGTAAAGAATTATTCTTATAGGAGATCATTGACAAGGGTTCTGGGACAGAAGAATAAGACTGGGTCTAAAAAATTAGATTTAGACAAATATGGAATAAAACCAAAAAACTCATTATTTATTTAGGCTTCTGGTGATGAAGCCTTCAGTTTCACTACTGCTGAGAAATCATTCATAAAGGAAATACTTGAAGTATAGTTTACAAATTACCCTCATGAGAAAAAACTTAAGTGAATGGGCAGTACACATTCTGGCTCTTCTGTGAGTAGAGATGACCAAATGTAAGATGACAGTGGCTATTTGTCAATGCGAATCTATTCAGAATAGAGACCTACCAGTGAAAGATTAGAACATTAATTTCCATGTGCCTTGAACTCTTCTGTCTCTTGGGAACATATCTGCTGACATAGAACGTGATACCAAGGCCACCTGAAATAGTTCCTTATCAAATGACAGGGAAAAAACCTATTATCCCTCCTTTTTCTGTGTACCAAAAGTTAATGCCCTCAACTATCAATATATCCAGAGTAATGTAGGGTTTTGTGAGAATTTTCAAAAGAATAGCCAAGGTCAGTGGCAGAGCAAAAATCAAAGCATGATCATCTTTCCCAAAGAGATGACAGAAATTAAAAATGGGTACTTTTTTTTCAGAATGAAATTTTTTTTAAGGAAAAAGTAAAAAAAGAATGACCAATGCTTTACTATAGATCTTCAGAGAAAGCAGCAAATGTCACCATGCTCTAAAAAAGAAAATTGGGGGTGCCTAGGTGGCTCAGTTGTTAAGTGTCTGCCTTCAGCTCAGGTCATGATCCCAGGGTCCTGGGATCGAGCCCCGCATCAGGCTCCCTGCTCGACGAGAAGCCTGCTTCTCCCTCTCCCACTCCTCCTGCTTGTGTTCCTTCTCTTGCTGTCTCTCTCTCTCTGTGTCAAATAAATAAATAAAATCTTAAAAAAATAAATAAAAATTTAAAAAAAGAAAAAAGAAAATTGAGCTCTTTATAGTACCTTATTATTTTCTCATCACAAAAATTATACTTAATTTTGAAAAGCATAAATCTTTCATATTTGTATAATGTGAAAAAATAAAACTACCTGCAGCCTCACTATGCATTGATAACAGCATTAATATATAATTCCAGTTTTTTTTCTCAATTCATTTAGATCTAGAACTACATGCACAGATGAGCTCTCTGTATAGATCCTGGAAGTGACATCATACCTTACATATTTTATTACATGTTTTCCTATACAAGGCTAGGTAGTGAAACCTTTCTCCATTGTGGCAGAAAAGGCTCATGAAGTTCCAAAGATTTGAGCTCCTTTTCTCAGTGTAGAGTTGTTGGGAAGCAGTTTCCCAGCCAGGGATTTTTAGCTCCTTTGCTGCTATGTGGGCCCACATCACTAGTTTTGGTGAAATGGAACAGGAGCTGAAGTGATTTGCCAAATCTGGGCTAAGGAGGTTAAATACCCACATGCCTTTTCTACCCTCTTATTCCCTTTCAGGTTTCACTTGGAAGCCTTGCTTGCACTTCTTCCATTGTCATGAGCAAAATATGACCTCTGAATAGCCTGCTGGTCCCAGGAGAGAGTAAAGGATACATAGAGTAGAGTCACCCCAGTTTCCCCATAATGTGAATCTGCACAATGAAGCAGAGCTGCTTCAATGACCTGTAAACTTATGATTGAGAAATAAATGGTTATTATTATATTGCATTAAGTACGCTTCACAGAAGCTGATGTGCCTGAAATACATACAATTGAGTCTAGAAAGAAAGATGTGTCTCAAAAAGAACTGTGGATGTGATTTTTGACAAATGGCCTTTTTGGAATCAAAAACATAGATCTAGGAGAAAGTTATATTGGCAAAATAACCTCAGCCTGAATTAAAAGGGACTAAGACTATGTGAGATACAAAAGTCACCTCTCAACTTTCTGTAGGCAGGAAGCAGATTGAGAAAGCGACTCAGGATTCAAGAATGGTGTGTTCTCCAATGTCCTTTTGAGAAGTGGCCAAGAAAGAGAATGTAAAAGAAAAGATCTCAACCTCATCCACAGAGGGCTTTGTCAACAGTTCTCAAGAATGACAGACTAGGCAGAAACTTCTAGGAACTGGGATTTAGGCCAAGGTTCTCAAGAATAACAGACTAGGCAGAAACTTCCAGGAATTGGGATTTAGGCCAAATCAAGCAACATCTTCCCTCAGAAGGACATGGCAATACACCTATATGGGCTTTCAAGAATTGCTAATGGACTGTTGATTGCTGTGTGCCTCATTAGTCTCCCTTTTTTCCAATGGGACTGTTTATTGTGGTTATCCAGTCCTTTTCCATTAGTATATTTTGGATGAGATAAGGGAGATAATCTGTTTAGATCATGGGTCTGAATCAAGAGGAGGCATGTGTAGACCTGTTGTAGGTCGTGAGATCCTGGACTTGGAGTATAATGTTATCAATGGATGAGATTTGGGTGGGGTGCAAGTATTACTTGTATATGAGAGGAATATGAATATTTGTAAACAAAATAAGGAGGACTGTCATAGATTAGATTACAGTTTAAAATGATTCACTTTTTCCCCCTTATCTTTACCTTTCCATATGAGTACTCTGCACTTAAACCTTGGGCTTGGCCATATGACTTGTTTTGGCAAGTGATCTGTTAGCAGGCATGGTGCAAGCCAATGCTTAAAATATGCTTGAGTTGTAGCTCTTGCCTTTTGGGCTTCAGCCATTATCATGAAAAAGACAAGCGCTCAATAATCCCACTGATCTCAGGAGAAGAATAAGAGATATATAGAGGAGAAGCACTCCAATGATGGCTACCTGAAACAAGGCTACCACAGGTCACCAACAAAACTGAGCAAGAAATAAAGACTTATTTTTGCATTTCATGTTAGTTTGAGGTTGTTCTATGAAATACCTATAATGCTTTGTCTCTTACCCTTTTGCTAAAATGTCACCTTCTTAGTGACTGACTTGCCCTAATTAAAATGACAATCAATACACCCTATCCCTCTTCTCTGGTATATTTTTCTCCATAGTACTTGCCATCTTCCAATATTCCATATGACTTACTCATTTGGGGGGTTTATCATCTGTCTTCCTCAACTAGAATATAAGCTTCATGAGGTAGAAATTTTTTGCCTGTTTTCTTTACTGCTGTATCCTCAACAACGAGAACATTGCCTGGCACACAGTAGGTATTCAATAATTTTTATTAAATGAATGAATGAATTATATATATATAGAAAATATCAAAAAGAAGTACAGAAAAAATTAATAATGGTTATCTCCAGTTTCTGTGAATATGGCTGATTTTTCTTTACATTTTCTGTATTTTTCAAATTAGTCAAAATAAGTATATAGGATTTATTTAATAAAAATAAAACAACTTTTTTTTTAAAGATTTTATTTATTTATTTGAGAGAGAGAGAATGAGAGAGAGCACATGAGAGGGGGGAGGGTCAGAGGGAGAAGCAGACTCCCTGCCGAGCAGGGAGCCTGATGCGGGACTCGATCCAGGGACTCCAGGATCATGACCTGAGCCGAAGGCAGTCGCTTAACCAACTGAGCCACCCAGGTGCCCAAAAATAAAACAACTTTTAAAAATTGTTTTGACTAGACATAGACATTGCAGGGGTGTTTTTTTTCCTGCTTATTTTAATATTATTGAGATTGTCCATTTATCAGTAATCATAATTTTGTCCTAGCATAGGATCTGTAGGCAGAAGACAGTTCAAAACAGAAGGTAAGTGGGTCAAGAAGAAAAAGTGGAGTAACTGAGAGTTGAGAATTGAGTCTGGGTATAACAACCAGAATCTGGGGGCAGACTGGGTACAACTGAGACTCACAACCCAGACATCTTTTCCATGTTTCTGTACGAATCTGAGCAACCTTCATTTTTTTTTTTTTAGACTTTATTTATTTGAGAGAGAGAACACAAGTGGGGTGGAGGGGCAGAGGGAGAGAGAGAGAGAGAAGCAGACTCCCCGCTGAGCAGGAAGCCTGTCATGGGGCTCAATCCCAGGACCTGGGATCATGACCTGAGCAGAAGGCAGACGCTTAACCAATTGAGCCACTCAGGTGCCCCTAACTTTCATTTTTTTTAAATCATCCTTTCTTTCATGTTAAGGAGTTGCCAATTATTTCCATTTCTAATTATTTTTGAACTTTTAAGACAAATTCAAGTTATGCCTCTTTTAAGACATTTTAATGAATTTTTTATTATACCTATACAATTATGATACAGGTACATTAAAGAGTCTAATAAATAAACCCTGGTTAAAAAATGTCATTGTTCTATTCTATAGGGTACCAGTCAGTATGCTGATACAATCATAGCAGTAACCATACTAGTAGGATGGTTTGGTATTTGGTAGATTATTAAACTCCTTTCAGAGGAGCTGGACTAATTGCATAGAGTTTCCTCTCCTAGACTGGATGATAGCTTCAAGACTAAGATGACCATGAAAAGAAGAAGACACTGACTATGCAGAATGAGAACCATTGGATGACTTATTTTCTCCATTCACCTACCCTCTTTTTTCCCTCCATCTTCACCTCAGTTGGAAGACTAGAGAAGCTGAGCAGTAAATTCTGAGTCCCAGTGCCAGGTAAGTTTTTCTAAGTAAGTGTTTTATCTTGCTTGATAGAAGTTTCTTGTGATTCACAGGGTATACCAGGACTATGGTTAAAAGTAGTATCGTAGGAGTTAAGAACATGGGGACTTGGAGTAAAATGAATTTGATTTGAATTTCAGCTCTACCACTTACTGGCAGTATTGCCTTGTCAAGTAATTAACTTTCTTGAACCTCACTTTTATCATCTGTAAGTGGAAAAAAACAAACAAACCAAGGATTAAATGAGATGTCTTTTTTTTTTTTTAAGATTTTATTTATTTATTTGACAGAGAGAGACACAGCGAGAGAGAGGGAACACAAGCAGGGGGAGTGGGAGAGGGAGAAACAGGCTTCCCGCCTAGCAGGGAGCCCAAAGCGGGGCTCGATCCCAGGACCCTGGGATCATGACCTGAGCTGAAGGCAGACGCTTAACAACTGAGCCACCCAAGTGCCCCATGAAATGTCTTTTATAAACTACTCAGTATTGGATCATCATTGAATGTTTAACAGATTCAGCTGGTATTATTCTGTTGCGATTACCACTATTATACTATTACTACTATTATACGCTTGTATTTTTCTATTACTACTATTACTACTATTATAATTTTCATAATTAATACCTGTTTAGTTAATCAGTAGGAAGGCTGGTATGCTGGCCTTCTGGAAAATGAAGAGAGGGAGAACTTGCAAAAAATAATTAAAAAATAATATGCCTAAGGTTTTCAGCTTTCCACTAACTCATGGCTGTTGATTGCATTGTCATTTTGAAATTTAGTATCAGAGCACTACTATATGGATACTGCAGTGTCATAAAATTTGGTGCATCTTGACCTTAAATGATGCTACACTAGCTTAAGCTATTCTCTGACTGTTGTAGCAGGCAGTACCATTCCTGAATCCCAACTATGGTGATCAGATCTATAGATTTCATTTTTTCATGGAAAAAAACCAAAAAACAAATTCTAGAGCACCACCAGGGTAAAGGATTGAGAAATTTCTCCTGATAAGCATGTAAAAAATAAAATTCAGTGGATGGGCAACAGAGAGTTATGAAACACCACAATAGACCATGAAAAAAAATAATAGCAGGGGAAAAGCTAACTCATTCATGTGACACATTTGCTTTTTATCAAGATTTCCTCCAATTAAATGTATGGTGATGATTATTGTAAACATCCATGTGATATTGAAACAGCTGTTGGCGTCCTAAAGGAATCAGCATCACTCCCTCCACACTGGGCCTTTACTGCCCTACTGCTCTTTTTTGTTTTTGAATCTAGCCTCATTACATTAATAGCTCAAAACCTTCTTGGGCGTGTTAAAAATAGATTGTAAGAGAATTGAAAGCAGTGTTTTCCTCCTCCCTCCCACTCCTTTTCTCGAGTGTAATATAATGGCACTCCTCAGAAACAGTCCACGGAAATCAGGATTTTCTCAGCGGCTTGTGTGGGAAATGTAGACTATTGTGAGCAACTCTTGCAACCCACTGCTTGTCAGGAAGTCGTTTTTAGAACAGTTAACTGAACAAACACCTTCCATTGTCTACAGAGGTTGAAAATCCAATGAAATCTCCTTATTTCTATTCCCAAATCAACTTGGTGATACTTAATACATTTAACCCTTTTTATTCTAGAGTCTCAGGTTTATTGAAGAGTTTTTCTCTTAGTGATTCTTGACCTTTTTCAGTTCCTGGACTCCTTTGAGAATCCTGTGGGACAGTAAACTCATGTGTTCATTTTGCAGGGGATCTTCATTCTTTCCCCTGTTCCCACCCCTCATGTTGAGTTGTTCTGTAGCCGATCTGAGTAATTAGTGATCAAGGGAAACTCTAAAGTAGAGAAAGTGAGATTCTCCCTTCTCCCATGTTAGCCCATGACATGTTTCTAATTTTTCTTTGCAAATTTACTTTTTTAAAAAAGGGGCTGAGCTCTACTGACAATAATTTTAAAAGCTATTAATCACTTTCATAGTCTTATTTATTAAAGTGATAATTTAGAGGCTTAATTTTCCCCACTGTAATAAAAGTAAAAATTAACATAAGTGTGTACACAAAAGAGTTGGACCAAGAGGGCAGAGAAGGAATAGGCTATGTTTAACCTGGGCATGACTTTTATTGCACTCTCTAAATATTTGAAGGGCCTTGGTGGAGATGTAAGAGCCACATAATTATCATTTTATCCTGCTTCAGAGGAATTTGCAAAAGAAGGTTCTTTTCTTTTTTAAACACGATTTGGTTAAACTTAAGATCCTAAGATTTAGTGTTCAACAATGGACATCAAGGAGTTTGACTGTCGTTGGGCATATTCAAGAGAAGGCTACTGCACTATCTGATGGGAGGGAATATTGTAGAAAGCATTTCTGTTCTCTTTGGCTAGATAACATCTACCACACCTTTGCACTAGAAATTCTACAAGTATACCAAGAATTTATTTGGTCCATAGGAAGAAAACGTTTAAGATGTCTTTCCTTTCATGTTCTTTTTCTGTGTGGGTACACCCAAGAGAATAGTTTTAATTTGTGCTGAAATAGAGTCCTGGCTTTCCAAAATCATTCATTTTCTGTGTGGTCTTAGATATCTGTGATGCTATTCCATGAGAACTATGGCCTCTTTACCAATATCTTGAATGTAACTTAATGTCCTATTACCCATTGGGAATTGATTGCCATCATTGCCGTCAATGAAACCACAGTCTGACCTTCAAGGAAAGAGTGCATTTGAATTAACTGTCTTATCAAGAATTTTCTTTAATTTTTTTTGTCAAGCATTTTCATTAACTACTACCTGAGAGTTTACACTTAAAATTTTCCTTTTCTCAGCTAAGACTGTATCATCTGTTGTTATCTGTGTTGAATGTATAAGCTGTGAATTGCCAGATTGAGGAAAGTGTGATGGCATTTAACATCAAAGATTATTTTTCAAATGGACTCCTCTTGAGGAGCCTCAGAAGCTCTACATGATCTGGAATGCCTAACGCTGAGACTTTCTGACAGCCCTAACTTTGGTATGTATATTAGTCAGTTTGGGCTGCCATAACAAAATCCTGTAGACCAGCTGGTTTAAACAAAAGACGTTTATCTTCTTACAGTTCTGGAGGCTGGAAGTCTGAGGTCAGGGTGTCAGCATGGTCAGGTTTTTTTTTTTTTTTTTTTTTTTAAGATTTTATTTATTTATTTGAGAGAGAATGAGATAGAGAGAGAGAGAGCATGAGAGGGGGGAGGGTCAGAGGGAGAAGCAGACTCCCTGCCGAGCAAGGAGCCCGATGCGGGACTCGATCCTGGGACTCCAGGATCATGGCATGGTCAGGTTTTGGTGAGAGCTCTCTTCCTGGCCTGCAGGTGTCCCACTTCTCACTGTGCCTTCCCACTGCCTTTTCTTGGAACATGTGTGTGTAGGGAGAAAGAGACTTTTCCTCTTCTTATATCTTCAATACTATCAGATTAGGACTTTACCTTTATGACTTCTTTTAACCTTAATCATCTCCTAAAAGCCCATCTCCAAGTACAGTCACAATGGGGGTTGGGACTTCGACATAGAAATTTGGGGAAGACACCCTTCAGTGCATAGCAGTATAGCATATGTCCATTCTAGACCCTGCACAAACTTTTGGACACATGTTGATGAAAGAATGGGAAAGAATTTCATTATAACACGATCTTACCTGTAATCTACTCTTGTGACAGGGACTACGAAGACATCAAACATCCAGTATAATTAAGAGAGTTTAAAATGTTGGTGTGTGTGTATGTGTGAAAGAGAGAGAGAAAAGATAATTAAGGCAATAAGCATTTTTAAACTATTTGCTAAGTACAATGTATAGCCAGGTATGATGATAGATATATCTTCACTTGATCTTAGCCAAAAGGCCGAGAAGTGATGATAGATATATTTTCCCTCCCCTATAATAACAAACAAACAAACAAACAAATACCAGGAAGGCATTGACTTTGCCCTCAGGGGTTTGGAATTTAATTGTGGAGCTAAGAACTAAAAACCATCCAGATGAAAAGTACATTAAAAAGACAAGCTCGTATGTGTTAAGCACTGAGTAATTGGATCAGAAAGGGAGTGCAGTTAATGTTCAGAGGATCATCATGGTGTGAGAAAACAAGGGAAGATTCTGATCACAGAGGAGGTAGGACATAGGATGAGCTGGGGCAGGAAGGAAATTTAGGATTTGAGGGGGATCAGGGTTTTTTTAGAAGAGGTAATGGCTGCTCATTTAGGGAAAAGTGGAGGGGGAAGGGCAAATATATAGAGCAGAGGGCACAGAGGTAAAAAAGAGCACACTCAGTGTGTGTGGGAAACCACAAGCAGTTACCATGGCTGGAGGTGGAGGGCCAGGCACAGGGTGGAGAGAGAAGAGGTAAACTAGCTGCTCAGAGGTCATATCACTAAGGACTGTATGGGCCATATTTTTACTCTTCAGATCAGAGGTTTTCAACACTGCCTCTTTATGTTATCCCTTGTAGTTTAGACTGGTCTTCCTGTCACAGGGATTATAGAACAACCTCCTCTTCTAGCCTTGTCCCTGTCTCATCTACCCTCCATCCAGTGCCAGAGAGCTTTCTAAAAGTCAGGTCTGATCATATTGTTCCTCTGCTTAAGTCCCTGGAATAACCTATACTCCCGAGGCCCCGCTTACTGATTCACCTTCCACTCTTGTCAGGTTTTCCCCATTATACTCAGCTTTATGTCCTAGTCATACTGAAAGGCTTGCAATTTTGTCTTGTCCAACCCTTGGTTATGTTGCCACCACTGCCTGGAATGGCCTCCATACCTACCTCCTTTTAAGCCCTAGCTGAAGGATCACCCCCTCCATGATGGCATTCCCAACCTCCTTTGCCCCCAAGTGGATCTGGCCACACTCTTTTTTATCCATAGGTATAAATCCTATCATTGTAGCTTAGTAAGGGGTTGGATCCGAGAGATGTTAAGAATTTCAAACCAACAAGATGCAGTCAGACAATAGAGGTGGGTGGAGGAAGGGTTTGGAGTCTGGGATGACTCCTGGGTTTCTATGAGGCGTGGCATGTTGTATGTCATAGAGAATACAGGAGCAGAAGGGTTTGGAGAGAGAAAGACAATGAGTTCCATTTTGGTGAAGTTAAGTTGGTGCTGCCTGTGGAGATCCAGGTTGAGGTGAGCTGTAGATTGTCAGATGTATGAGCCTGGAATGCAGGAAAAAGATCTGGAGGTACACATTTGGGAATCAAGACATAGGCAGCAGATAGATCTTTTTCTTTTTTTAAGATTTTATTTATTTATTTATTTGAGAGAGAGCAAGCAATCACACAAGCAGTTTGAGCAGCAGGCAGAGGGAGAGGGAGAAGCAGACTCATCGCTGAGCAGGGAGCCCGACATGGGGCTCAATCCCAGGACCCTGAAATCATGACCTGAGCCAAAGGCAGACGCTTAACTGACTGAGCCACCCAGGTGCCCCAGGCAACAGGTGAATCTTTAGGAATGAATGAGATTATTTAAGGTGAGACTGTAGTGTGAAAGGGAAAGAGAGAGGTGGATGTAGGTGATTGAGAAAGAAGGTGGGGTGGAAAATTGCCCCATATCATCCCTGTTCCATTTCCCCCCACCATTTTGGTCCCTGGGACCACAAAGATAACAGTGCAACTTGATAAAAGCTCTGTAAACAGAAAAGCTTTGTTTGCTATTCAGGGCCTCAGGCCACTCTAAGATACAGTAAAATGTTGAGTCTTGTAAACTTCCCTGTGATCTATCCTGACAATGACAATGGGGAAATCTCTCTAACCTCATCATTGTGATTGTGTGTAATTCCAGCACAGTTTTAATTCAATATTTAGAAAAAAATTAGTTCTATTAAAATAGGACTTTGAATTTTGGAGTACTTCTGGTTATTAAAATTTGACTCCCTAAATAATTTAGAAACTTTCGAAGCAGGAATATCTCTGAATGTTATTCTTAGACATAGCAATACTTTCCCCCCAGAAATTTCTTTTTTCAGGTTCATATGTAAACAAACACAGTACATTTTACAGCAAGAGAAAAGTAAGTGTGGAAATATTATTCAAAAGATTCTCTGTTTTCTTTACCAAGAAGAAAGAAATACCTTTTTAGTCACAGAAAAAGAGAGAATAAGGAACGCATGGTCATAATGTGTCGATAAAGTGGCTTCATCGTGTGATAAATGAAGGTGAATGGAGAATTCCCTTGAGTCAAGCGTGTGGTAAGTTAAATCACGCGAACTATCTGTGATGGCTGCCACATGATCAGGGCAGGCATTTCTTCGTGTTAACATTTTTCATGCTCCCTTACACTTATTCAAACACTGCAGAACTTCCTTACCAGCATAAGAGGGCTTTTTAGCTTTCTAGAGTACTATATTTCACTCAGTACTGATCAATAGAAATGGTACCATTTTCCGCATGGGAGATGTGAAAGCTGATCTCCGTTGTCTCAGGCACTGGGTAGGGGCCTACTTTTCTACAATGGGTCAATGAAACAGCGGAAGAGAGGGAGGAGGCCGCTGTCTCTGAGCTAGAGCAGGTATATCAATCTTGGCAAATCGAGTAACATGCCTCAACCAGGCTACTCTTATCTCTATGTGGTCAATTAGAGGAAAATCTCATGAGGCAAGAAAAGGGAAAAAAAAGAATGATGTAATTTCTTTTATAGCCTCCTTGGCATGATTCATATGAATATTCATTATTACACATGGGAGGTATATGTATTATCAGATCTGGGCTTAAATGTAGAGGCACCTTTGTAAAGAAAGAATAATTCGACATAAACTTTGTATTTGTCTTAAGGAGGAGGTATGAAATATTCAGAGGGTGTATAAATTTGGGACATAGGCATATGCCAGACTGTTTTCAAATGTTTATTTTCTGCTATATATCTATAATTGTCTAATTTTGGCAGTAACTATTTTTGTCTTAAAGTGAAAATATGCTTTCAACTCAAGTAAAAAAACTGTGTCCGATAACTTCAAGTTAATTTTTTTTTTAAAGATTTTATTTATTTATTTGAGAGAGAGAGAATGAGAGACAGAGAGCATAAGAGGGAGGAGGGTCAGAGGGAGAAGCAGACTCCCTGCCGAGCAGGGAGCCCGATGCGGGACTCGATCCCGGGACTCCAGGATCATGACCTGAGCCGAAGGCAGTCGCTTAACCAACTGAGCCACCCAGGCGCCCTCAAGTTAATTTTATAATAAGAAATATGTATTAACTTTAAGTCATATAATTAATTTTTATGATTTTCTCTCTTTTTAACTAGAAGTCTATAAAGAGACTATGTTTTTGTCTTCATTGCACTAGTTATTTTTATAAAAACAAAGATTTTCCATGTCACATTTTCATATGTCTTAGGGGAAGAGATTTTAAAAAGGATTTTAAAGCATTGACAAATATGTGGCAAATCCTATTTTAAACATATTTTTAAAATATCTATTTTACTGATGAATAAATAGGAGAAATTTAAATGACATTTCAAGGTTAGAGTAGAACAAAGAAGAAAACTGGGACATAGTTTTAAGTTCTCTTTAGTCCCAACCATCTCCTGGATGTCTAGCATCTCTCTTTTATATGTTACAGATGGAACCCATCATTATTTTCTCCCAAACCTACTCCTCCACTATTCTCCATCTTGGACTGTGATATCTCCATCCACCCAATTGTTTAGGCCAAAAACTTGGATTCGTCTTTTGTTTTCCTTACTTCACTTACCCATCTTGTAGCAAATCCTCTTAGTTCTACCTCTAAATATGTAAATAGAATGTTTTTGATATCCCATTACATTCATCCTAGTCTGGGGCACCAACACCTCTCACTGGGATCATTGAAATAATCTCCAAATGTCAAATGTGTGCTAAGTTAAATAATTCAAGCTATCTCGTTATTATTTTTGCCCTCTACAATCTATTTTCCACTCATTGGCCAAATGATATTTCCTGAAATAAAAAAACTAAGAACGAATCACTGATCTATCTAAAAGTCCCTGACTTTAGAAGAAACCTTCTTAACCTGACCTATACACCTTGTGTGATCTCTCCTCTGCTTTTCCCTCCTAGCCCCATCTCTTCCATTCTCTCAGTAGTACAAGTACTTTCTGACTTGTTCATCACTTTATCCACAGCAGAGTGCTGAGCACAAGAGTAGGCACTCAATACATTTGTAAAATACATGAATAGATATTTTACATATTTTCTTGAGCTTAAAATGAAGTTCTCCTTTGGTTTTGGTGCTAAGCAGAGCTCAGACTAAATCCTTATGTGTGTGGTCATTTGAGAGTTTGGGACCGATAATCACTGAATGAAAGCTTAGGGCAGTCAGGGCTTGCTTTGCAACCTGTGTTATGCTCCTTTCCTAACATTTCCTGTTGGCTTAGCTACACCTGGATTCCGAGGTCAATCCTGAGTTAAGGCAGGAGTGATTCAAGGGCCTGTGTTTTAGAAGCAGGTGAATTGACTTGATGGTTCCTTAATACCAGCCCCACCATGACCTTGTGAATTTCTGCCTTATTTTGAAGCCCACGTTCATATCTTGATCCTTGGTTTGGTAACTGAATTTCTGTTTAGTTCCTTCCGCCTTGACAACTACTTAGTAATCCCCTTCTTCCAGCTCAAGACCCACCTATACTCACGTCCACTTGAGTTGACCTGTATTCAACATTGTACCATATTGTACATCACCATAGATCTCTTCTAAAGCTGATTTTGCATCCTAGTTGAGACCCCATAGTACCAAAGCCATCCATAAGAGGATGAATGAACAACCATAATGTTGGAACTAAGCCTTTAGAAAGCACCCAAAGCTATTTATGCATAAATCATGTGAAATCTTTCATAAGCAATTAAAAAACAATCACAACAAAATCCCATGGTGTTCAGTATTTCCATATCCAAAATATTCTATCTTCTTTAAAAAAGAAAACCTGAGTGGGGAAAGCTACATGGCAATATATTTATTCCATATGTAATGATTAACAATATTTAAGTATGGTCCATTTTTGGGTAAGTTATCAATACCTCAAGATCTCCAACTTAAGGGGATTTAAAAGAAACTGATTCTAATGAAGGTTTATGATCTATGAAAAGCTGATGTAGGAAACAAATGAACTTACTTTCAGAGATAATCTTTCTAAGTATGAAGGAAAACGTACCTCGAATTTCTTAATCCCTAGTACCTTCTCTAGAGCTACTGCCCTGACAGAGATAGGAATTTAGGAGGGGATAAAGCGAGGTGTCCTTTCTGATGCTACAGCTTAGATTGTCATCTTACTAGGGTCTGCAAAGCCCTCTCATGCTCAGCAGGAAAATACTGAAGTTAAGTTTTGCTATCCCTTCTGAGTTTTATCAGATTTTCATGCCACAGAGAACCGTGTTTGAACAAGCTGGAGAGACAGAGATAAATGAAAAGTCCCTTTGGTGAAGGGAAAAAGCAATCACTACTAGTATTGTAGTTTTTACTTTTCTGCTGATAACAAAAAGAAATGGCTTAGTAATTTGTAGGTAACTATTGTGTCGTAAAGGAAACATGCCATTTAATTTACTTATTTCAAGGATAAATGAATCTCTTTTTATCAACCATTGACTATTGTTTAACCCTATCATTTTAAGTTTTTATCTCTCTTTCTTGAGGAAAAGCATAAGAACCCCAAGAAATAACACTTCGGTGCTTGTATTAGTCTGCTTGGGCTGTCATAACAAAATGCTCTAGACTAGGCAGCTTAAACAACAGGAACTTACTGCTCACAGTTCTAGAGGCTGGAGGTCAAACCTCAAGGTGCCAGCTTGGGTCACTGTCTGGTTAGTGAGAGCTATCTCCTTGGGTTGCAGACAGCCACCTTCTTGATGTGTCTTCACATGGCCTTTCCTTAGTGCATGGAGAGAAAGAGAGAAACAAAACAAGCTCTCAGGTATTCCTTCTTAAAGGACCCCACCCTCATGACCTCAACTAAATCTAGCTACCTCCAGGGACACCTAGATGGTGCAGTTGGTTAAGCATCCAACTCTTGGTTTTGGCTCAGGTTGTGATCTCAGGGTCACAGGATCCAGCCTTGTATCGGGCTCCAGCTCAGCACAAAATCTGCTTGGGATTTTTTCTCCCTCTCCCTCTGCCCCTCTCACTCTTACATGCACGCGTGCGTGTGCATGCGCTCTCGCTCGCTCTCTCAAATAAATAAATAAATCTTAAAAAAAATAAAATAAATCTAGTTACCTCCATAAAGCCTATCCCTAATACTACCATATTGAGGTTTGGGGCCTCAATATATGAATTTGGAGAGGGACATAATTCAGTCCAGAGCATTCTACTCCTAGACCCCCAAAACTCAAGTCCTTCTCACATGCAAAGTATATTCATTCCATACCCACAGCCCTTAAAGTCCTAATTTATTTTAGCATCAGTTTTAAAGTCCAAAGTCTCATCTAAATATCATCTAAATCAGGTATGGATGAGACTTGAGGTATGATTCATCCTGAAGCAAAATTCCTCTCCAGTTGTGAACCTGCGAAACTTGACAAGTTATGTGCTTCCAAAATACAATAGTGAGACAGGCAGAGGAGAGACATTTCCATTTGAAAGGAAGATACAGGAAAGAAGGAAGGGGTAATAGGTTCCAAGCAAGTCCAACACCTAGCAAGACAAATTTCACTGGATCTGAAGGCTTGAGAATAATCCTCTTTGGCTCAGTGGCCCACCTTCCAGGCCCCCTGGGTTGGCAGCATCGCCCCCATGGCTCTGCAGGGTGACCCTGCCCCTTGTGCTTTCTCATTTCCAGTAATATGCTCCCTATTGTCATCTGAGACGTCACCAGAATCACCCTTCACATCCATCTTTCTAGCACCTCAAAACTCTGGCAGCCACTATTTACTACCCAGTTCCAAAGCTCCCTCTTTGTGTTTGGGTATCTGTTACAGCAGTACTTTTTTACATAAAGTAATTTTGAATGAGACCTGAGAAGTTAGTCATCAAGATAATTTTAGAAAATTTCCTATTATTCTTCTGTGCCCAGAATCTGGATTTCAAGTAAAATATTTTTCTCCAAATAATAAGATCTGTGCCTTCAGAATGATGTAAAATTGGGGCCACTACTTCTTTTTTATTACCTTTTTTTTGTTTTGTTTTTTTTATTTTTTTTAAAGATTTTATTTATTTATTTGAGAGAGAGAGAATGAGAGAGAGCACATGAGAGGGGGGAGGGTCAGAGGGAGAAGCAGACGCCCTG